GAGTGAGGTGAAATCTCAGTGTAGTTTTAATTTGCATTTCTCTTATTGCTAGAGATGTTGAACATTTTTTCATACATTTATTGACTGTGTTACTTTTGAGAAGTGGCTGTGTAGTTCCTTTGCCGTTTATTGATAGGGTTATTTTTGTGTGTGTGTTAAGCTTTTTGTGTTCTTTCTATATTCTGGAAATAACACCTTATCTGAGGTGTGGATGGCAAAGCTTTTCTCCCATTTTGTAGGCACTCTTTTTACGCTCTTGATTATTTCCTTTGCTGTGCAGAAGCTTTTTAGTTTGATATCATCCCATTGATTGATTTTATGTTTTACTTCTTGTGCTTTAGGAGTCTTCTTAAGGAAGTCACTTCCTAAACCAACACATTGGAGTTTTGAACTATATTTTAGAAATACTCTTATGAGATAACTCATACATGAGTGGATAATTCATTTATGAGGGCAGAACCCTAGTCAATTCTTTAAAGTATTATTTGTTCCTACCTTTTTGGGGGTGGAGGGGATGGGAGATGGTTACTGAAACTTTAACCCAGAGGGGCTTTACCACTAAGCTACCTCCCCCATCCCTTTTTTAGTTTTTATTTTGAGACAGGGTCTCACTGAGTTGCTTAGGGCCTCACCAAATTGCTGACACTGGCCTTGAACTTGTGATCTTTCTGTCTCAGCCTCCTGAGTTGCTGGGATTATAGGCAAGCACCACTGTGTCCAGTGGTACTTCCTTTTAATATGCCATTTTGGGTATTAAATCTCAATAAGAATTTTGGAAAGGTTAAAACATACCCAAATCACAGCACTCATGTAAGTAGAACAAATAGAGTATTAGTCATTTTGTGACTGACTTATTTTACTTCACCTAATGCCCTCAAAGTTCATCCTTGGTGTACTAAGTGATACGCTTTCCTTTCATTGAATATATATATACTACATTTTGATTCTTGATCTAACCATTAGTGGATACTTGGGTTGCTTCTACTTTTTGACTATTGTGAATAAGGTTGCTATTAACATGGCTGTACAAATATTTCTTTGAGACCTAGCTTTCAGATCTTTTGGGTATATACTGAGAAGTAGAATTCTGGGCCATATATTATTCTATTTTTATTTTCTTGACAAGCCGTTATAATGTTTTTCATAGTGGCTGCACCATTTTACGTTCCTACCAGCAGTGCACAAGGGTTCTAATTGTTCCATATTATTGCCAACACTTTTATTTGTTTATTTATTTATTTTAATAGTAGCCATCCTCATGGGTGTGAAGTAGTATCTCATTATAATTTTGATTTACATTTGCTTGATTAGGGATGTTGGTTAGTGATGTTGAACATTTTTTTCATGTGCTTGTTGGTCACTTGAAGTCT